TTAACAGGTCTATTTCAATGGGCGATACGGCAATCAGCTGAAGCAGAAAATTTTATGACCAGTGCAGAACGCATCTATGAATATGGCCAATTAGTACGTGAGAGCCATCAAAATAATAGCGATAGCAATGTTCTCATTCAACCAGGCAATGATTGGCCTTCTCGTGGTATTATCGAATTTAAAGATTACACTTTTCGCTATCGACCAGAGCTTGATCCTGTACTAAAAAATCTCAATCTACGGATTGAATCCCAGGAAAAGATTGGAGTTATTGGTCGGACAGGTATGTATTACTTCAGTTTAAAATGTGAAGTATTGAAATATGTGATTACTTTGTTGTTTTTTGTCTAGGTGCCGGAAAGTCATCACTTATTCAAGCTCTCTTTCGACTTGCCGATCAATCAGCAATCAATGGAACCATACTGATCGATGGCATTGATATTGGACGTATTTCACTCAATTATCTTCGTTCTCATCTTAGTGTTATTCCACAAGTACCGATCCTCTTCTGTGGTACCCTTCGATACAATATAGATCCATTCGAGCAATTCTCAAATGAAGAATGTTTGGCAGTACTTGAAGCTGTTCAACTTAAAAAATTGGTACAAAATCATCATGATGGACTCCATCTTTTGGTAGCTGAATCGGGAACTAATTTGAGTGCTGGTGAACGTCAACTGGTTTGTGTAGCTCGAGCCATTCTAAAGAGGAGCAAAATATTGCTGATTGATGAAGCTACTGCACATGTTGACCATGCAACTGATATGATGATTCAAGAAGTGATTGCTGACAAGTTTCGTGATCGCACGATATTGACGATTGCACATCGATTGAACACTGTTGCTAATAGTGATCGGATTCTTATGTTACAACAAGGAGAGGTTGCCTACTTCGATGTGCCTAGTAAAACTAATCTGTTTTAATACTATTTGGAAGTGTACGAGTAAAATCAACTAACTATATCAATAGTTGATATATTTAATTAATTATAAAAGGCTCAATAAAAAGGATGGGTGTGGGTGTGGGTGTGTATATACCAGTGCGAAATGTTTCATGGAGAATCATACGACATGTTTCGATCTTTCCGAGAGATCATCATCAGGTATGTTTAGAGACATTATAACTACAAAGCAAAAACTAGTCATGATTAATAAGGAGAATCATAAAGGATTCAGCCCACAAAATCATAATACTAATTTTTTGGACAAATTGTAGTCGAATTCACAAAGGTGTGTATATACCATCAGCAGGGGAATCTTTTTTAGTTGGTGGAAAAGAAGTCTACTGTATCGGAAGCATGGTGACATTTCTCAAACGATTTGTTTGAGCGGGAATCATCTTGTACAGAACGCGTGGGATGAAGGCAGTTGATGGTGCGGAAGTGGTTATTAGGCACTCGGAGTTAGTATAAGTGATATTATGCGTGAAAAGATTTCTCTTTAGGCAAAAATGTTTGCGTGATAGGATTCGTAGGTAGCAGTATGAGATAGATTTATTTATTAGCGGCCTTCGTATAGAGTTAGGGAAGTTGTGAGCTGTGTTTTTGATTTTCTTCTCTGGAAAATATTCTTATCTCCAATTTCGGAAACGTTTGATGCTGTGGAAATACATTGGAAAACTCGATGCGTCGTTACTTGAATACATGTTTGGTGGTCGAGGAGTTTAATTTTGCTGTGTAACTAGTGGTTTCTATAAGGAGTCAAAAGGAAAGTTGATCAATTGTTTTAAGGTTAATAAAAAAAGTTATCATTATATTCAGTGATTGGTTACTTGTTTCTTAGATTTTATAGCGTTGTATGTATTTATTCTTTGTCGTTGAACTAATACATTTGATTGAATAAAATATTTGTGTTAGGAATGTCATTGTCAATGTTCGGTGGCTTACGTAGCGCGTTCAAAAAGTATCGGGACTAATTTTATTAAAAAACA